ATTCCAAGACGTAGGCTAGAATCTGTGATTGCGAAGTACAGTAAATATCCACACTGGTGCAGTGGCTGACAGCCACACATTCACCTCAAAACATTAGATTCATCCACGCTGGAGCCGTGCCGGAGCACAACCCACTCGAGGAAGAATTGTGCGCAAAGCTGCAATTGCAGGTTTTCAAACAGAGATACCGACAAAGAGGCAAAACTTACGGACTGCAGCTTTAAAATGTATAAGAAAGTTCATTTCTGAGGAAAAATTAAAGTCATGTGGCAAAAACATATTTGTTCCTGTTTGATACTGTGACTGGACCCGACTTGATAGCCTATGAATGAGACCATGATCCGCTTTCACAAAATAGTCTTCTTTTTAGCGTTTATTTTATATTAATCACTAATAGGATTAAACACCGCCGCCTGTGTTTTATAGCCTAAAATAAATAATAATAGCCTAATAAAAAGAAGAATAGAATTCCTGAATTTTCTAAAAAAAAAAAAAAAAAACGATAGAGTTTAGAGATAATAAGGTAGTGCGCACGGATTATGAATTTGTGGGTACGGATTCAAAAATCTAAGGTACGGTTTACAAAATCTGAGCGCACGGATTGGAAATTCGTGGGTACGATTTGTTAAACCGAGGGAACAGTTTAAGAATTCGTGAGTACGGTTTATAAACTGAGGGGACGGATTGCAAAACCGTCGCCACAGATTGTTTTTTTTTCTCCTACAGGTGACTTCCCGGGCTCCGTAGTTTTGAGACTTGCTTGAGACTTAAACATGTGACTTGCCCCACCTCTGCTTTAAACAAATCAAGCCCACAAAACTATCACAAGTTCAGGTCTAAATCACTCTGTGACTCAAGACAAACGTCATGGCAGAGTAGCTAGGTCTTCTTAACCTGTCATTTTGCTGTCTAATGTATCGAACACTTAAAAGGAATAATTCTCCCAAAAATGGGAATATGCTGAAAATTCCTTCACCCTCAGGCCATCCAAGCTGTAGATGGGTTTCCTCATTGGAAAATATTTGGAGAAATTAAGCATTACATCACTTGCTCACCAGTGGGTCCTCTGCAGTGAATGGGTGCCATCAGAATGAGTCCAAACGACTGATAAAAACAATCTCAATGATCCACAACTAATCCACTTGACTTTAGTCCATCAATTAAAATCCTGTGAAGTGAAAAGCTGCATGGTTGTAAGACACAAAACCAATAAGACATTTAACTTCAGACCAAAATATGAGTCCTCCATCCATTATATTGTTTTATACAGTAAACAACAAAAAAAACATCTGAATCAGGAAAGAAATTGTCAGGGTTTGGGTGGAGGGATGAGGCGAGGACTCACTAATGCAGGAGATGGGCTTTTATTAATAAAACAAAACAAAAACAACCCCATGGGGGAAAAACAGGCTGGCACAACAAGGCAAGGCATGATCAGAAAGTGAATGGGTGCCATCAGAATGAGTCCAAACGACTGATAAAAACAATCTCAATGATCCACAACTAATCCACTTGACTTTAGTCCATCAATTAAAATCCTATGAAGTGAAAAGCTGCATGGTTGTAAGAAACAAAACCAATAAGACATTTAACTTCAGACCAAAATATGAGTCCTCCATCCATTATATTGCTTTATACAGTAAACAACAAAAAAAAACATCTGAATCAGGAAAGAAATTGTCAGGGTTTGGGTAGAGGGATGAGGCGAGGACTCACTAATGCAGGAGATGGGCTTTTATTAATAAAACAAAACAAAAACAACCCCATGGGGGAAAAACAGGCTGGCACAACAAGGCAAGGCATGATCAGAACAAGGCTGACGGGACACAACAGGATATATGCGATGACAAACTGGCACAGGTTTGCAAACACAAGGAGAATAAATAGGGAGCAAATGAGGAGGGTAACAAGGGAAACACAGGTGGGGCAAATTAACCAATAATCAGGTAACAAGATGGGTGGGGTTGGCCAGCAAAACAATCACAAGCCATGTGCTTGAACAAAACAAGGCACGAACACGCACCTAATGAGAATACTCTTAAGCCGCGTGTTCACACAAGACAAGACAGCACGCAGCCAGCGAAAACCAAGCTGCCAACCAACCCCGACACGAAACCGAAACCCAACAAGACATTAGTGCCAGGCTCCGAACACCACGCTCCAACATTAAACAAGGAAACAGGACACGCAGACGAGAACGCACGGCTCGAGCACTCTCGAAGCCGCACACTCACATGAAAACAACGACATGACGGGAGTGTCATGGCTCTGTCACAAAACCATGAATAACACTAGACCGAAGTGACAGAACCCTGACAGAAATATGCACAGATAAAGCACCATTTACAAGCGAGTCCAAAACTGTTCTAAACAAATTATGTCAGTGGATTTGATGTGAGAGGTAAAACATGGGAAGAACTTTTTCACTGAAGGAAGCTTTATTGTTGATTATGGGCTGGTAATTTGGCTAGAAATTATGCTTTAAAGTTAAAATGCCTCGATGGATTTGTTATTACAAACACTTTTCGCTTCACAAGACTGGAGTCTTGTGGATTACTTGTGTATTATTGTGATGTTTTTATCAGCTGTTTGGACTCTCATTCTGACGGCACTCATTCACTTCAGAGGATCCAATGTAAGTGATGTAATGCTAAATTTCTCCAATCTGTTTTGATGAATAAACAAGCTCATCTATATCTTGGATGGCCTGAGGGTGAGTAAATTTTCTTCAAATTTTCATTTTTGGGTGAACTAATCATTTTTGTTTTCATCTTTGTCTTAGACCAAAAGTTTTCTTCGTATATCAGTTTATATAACTGTATCCACTAGCAAAAGAGCCCTGATTTCTTATGGAGTGCAGACCTATGACTTGCAAGAATGTGGTTTCTCACCATGCTGACTTTTCTGCTGTAAGAGACATTATATGGAGGTGTTGCCGAGTTAGCATTGAGCCCCAAGTCCTCTTGCCAAAATATTTGTGCTTGGACCACATTATAAAAAATCATTTTTTGTTCACAGCATGTACTGCTGTGCTGGGGCTTGCCTAAAAGACACACACACACATCAGCTAACATACATGCCACTTACCCCAAGACTCAAAGATAGTATGGAATTTAGTTAGCATATTTAAAACATGGCCACAGTTATGAAGGGTCTTTTACCAGAGCCATGACTGACTGAAGGGGCTTTAAGTGACCTTAGGTCTTTACCCAGGCCCAATTGAGGGGCTCCTCAGCCATATGAATCCAATCTAAATTGAACATGAAATATGTATACAATACTTGCTTCTTATTTCTTCCATATGTTTGCCATTGTATTGTTTTCCTTGGATTTGCCGTTTTCTTTACGCCTTCATGTCATGCACAATGAACTGTACCTGATTGTTGTATTCTCTCAAGATAGGTATGTTTACATAAAGCAAGGTAGATCTGTAGGAAAATAACATCATGGTATATGGGTAGGGTAGCTGACATGACATGCTTTGGGGTAGCTGACATGTCCTGTGGTGTGACAAGCTGTACTTCATCTAAATGCAGTTTCCGATTGAGAGACTACATAGATTTTGTATTTTTAATTACAGTACTTAAAAAAAATCATTCTTCACACCACAGGACTATTAAAATGAACTGGTTAAGCTAAAAGTGATTTTTACAATGATGCTCTTACAATCACACAATGAACTGTTATTCACTCAATTATCATTCCACAAAGCGGCAGACTCCACATGACGTGTGCTGTGACACTTCTCTAAGAATGAATTTTGTACACTGGTAAGGCTGTTTATTTACACATGCTATCTGCATTGTTTCATCGACCAATTCTCTATGGGTATTATGCTAATCAAGCAACAGAGATAATAATAAGCCCAATTTACATAGAAAGGAGGTATGTTTATGGTAAAAAAAGATTGACAGTACTCATGGCACAGCAGTATTTCAGTACATTTAGCACCTGTTTAAGCTTGTGAGTAGTTAGTGAATAATAAGAAACCGGTTTTTACACTGCAAAAATGACTCAATTGTTTAGTGAATTTGCCCCTCGGAAAATGAAAACTGGTAACTCATATTAAAGGAATTTGATCCAACTTCTCATCCAACCTCTTTTCCAAATAACTTTAGTAAACATTTTGTCAAACATCTAAAGGAGAGACTGATGAGAAATTGGGTGATACAGTTACAGTAAGTACCCGGGGATGTCAGAGGAGAGCAAGAGAAAAGAAGGGACAGGAACAGAGAAAAGAAACAAAGACAGGCAGATGAAACTCTTGTTCTGTTTGTTTTGCAATCACACTGTCTCGCACACCAGCCATGACATAGCTTTTCTTTCCTTCATTTTTTTTCCGCTTAATCAAAACTAACAGGCAACAAGGAACCAGCTGGAGAGATCTTGTGTAGATGCACATGTTCACACACACATCCAGAGAGCTGTATGAATCAGTGCAGTCACCTACCAGGTTTTAATTTATTACACACCAGAGTTGCTAATATGCTCCGGCATTTAGCAGTGTTTATTTGAGGTTTCCCAGCTCTCCCTGTTAGAGCCCAACCCATGGCCATTATGAGCCCCCTCCTGTTAATTACAGCCCCCACACACACAGTAACACACAACCACACACCGCTCTCCTGCCCCCCTTATTAACCCGTTTCCTAGAACAGCCATGTATCGAAACCAAATACCTCATTCTAACTCAGTCTGCACTCTCTTTTACTTCCTCTCCTTCTCTTTAGGATGTTAAACATCCCGTAACTTCCTTGGAATCCTTTTATCATATACTGTAGGTGCTCAACATAGTGTGCAAAAACACTCTAAACATTCTCCTATTTCCTATAGCTTTCTGTTGAATAGGACAAGAGTGCCTTATAAATGACTACTCAGGGGAAAGATAGCTTGAAAGGTAGCACTTTGTGTGTGTGTGTGTGTGTGTGTGTGTGAGAGTTTTGTTGAGCTTTCTCATACTTTTCTCTTTTTTTGTGCTTTCTCTTCAGGTCCGCAGGGACCACCGGGCCTCCCAGGAGAGAGGGGCCTCCCTGGGCCACCCGGGCCCCCCGGACCACCAGCCCCTGTACCTGAACAAGATGGTATGAGTACTAATCATTAAGGGGCTTAAATGATAATTTCCTGTCATCCTGTCATTATCACAAAATAAAAACCAGAACCCAGGGTGATTAGGTCTTGTATGACCCTGAAGGGGTTTATTTTGCAATAATGACTGACTTCTTGTACTTTTCTACACTTACTATGCTATTGTTCAAAAGTTTGGGGGCAGTAAGATTTTAGTTTTATTTATTTTTAAAGAAATGAATACTTTTATGCAGCAAGGATGCATTCAATTGATCAAAAGTGACAGTAAAGACATTTATAAAAAATATAAAAGAAGCTGTTCTTTTCATCAAAGAATCTTGAAAAAAAAATTATGATAATTTTCACAAAAATGTTAACATTGATTTTTGTCCAAATAAATGCAGCCTTGGTGAGCATAAGAGACTTCTTAAACTCATGAAAAAATAATTCCAACCCCAAGAGTTTGAACAGTATACAGTACTCAAACGTTTGAAGTCGGTAAGATTTTTCATTGACTGCTTATCAAATAACAAAATAAATGGACATGAAATGCTGCTTTAAATTGAAATCATTTATGTAAAAAGAAACAGACCACGGTGTGATAGGAGAAATGTTGGAAATCATTTCCCTGGAAAGGCAGTCAGTTATACAGTTTTGTGGTCATTATACAAAAGTATTTGACCACAGGATGCCACAATTGACCAATCAGAATCAAGTATCATGGAGAGCTATGACATTTGCCCGTATTTGCTGTTTTTGGACCCTTTTCTCTCTCTCTCTCTCTCTCTCTCTCTCTCGCTCTCTTTCTCTCTCTGTCTGGCTTCAGAAACTGAAATGTTTCCTGCACTCTCCCATGTGGCTCTTCAGATTTTTCACACCTTTAGAATTGAGTTGTGAGGGAAATTGCTGTAGTGCAGAACCAGATGGATGCATGTGGACAGACAGACACACACACTCACACACACACACACACACGTTGTAGTCAGTTGCGTTCAATGTAAAACAGGTTCAGCTGTGAGTGTAGGCCAGTTCTGCAAGTCTAAACCTCATTAGTGAGTCATGGGATAGTCGATTCAAATTCAGTCTACTTTTTAGAATAAAACTTCCTGATTGTGCAGTGGGAAGCTTCAAATGAGTCCAAAATGTAATGTAAATAGAAAAAAAGGAATGGGTCAAGGAATTAGTCTAACTTAGGGGCATCTCTCTCATTTCTGCTTTTTTCCTTTCCCGCCATTGATTAAAATGGCAGGTTTCAAGAGGTAACACAGGCTACACTCAATAGTCACATGCTGGGAAAAAGACCTGTCTGTCTGCTGCTGATGTCACTCAAACACTTCCAGATGTGCACGGCCAAAACAGCAGGGTAGAGTGGGAGAAGTGTGTGTATGTGTGCTGTCTTGAGACTTACACTAAGTTAAACTATAAGCACAAGGGATTGTTTTAGAATAGAAGCAATAATATTTTAGTGTGTGTGTGTCGTCACTCTCAAAGAGGACTGGCCCGTGTAGAGGACTGACTCTTCACCTCAGCTCAGTTTTATAACTGCTCTCTGTTGGAGGGGATACAGGCCTTCCCAGACCTCATAAAGTTTGAGAATTTTTAATTTAGGGGCCTTAGAACTTTATAACTCAGTTAAGGCTGTTATTCCCGTGATTCTACCTTCAAAGTAATCAGGACAATAAAAGGGTCTACAAGAGACTTCCATAGAAAAACACTGTCTTTATTGGAGTTTCCTGTCTGGGTCTGAGCTCTGGGATGTCCTGCAGCCACCGAGACTACAGTAGCAAACTCACCTGCTGGGGGAGACAGACAGACAGACAGACAGAGAGCAATTTCAAAGGCTGAATCAGTACTCAGCCTTTTCACAGACCCACTGTGAGAACATTGTCAGAAGTAACAAAACCAATCAGAGGAGACAAGACAAAACATCTGTTAAGTCTACTGTGAGTAGACTTGCAACAGTCAACTTCAGAGTACTTTATTGACACGATTGTGATACAGGACATATAGCATTTCCAAAGATTCAATACACACGACAAAAGCAGTGACAAGAAAATAAAAAGAGAAAATATATTAATAATAAAAATAAGGTGCCAGTAAAATATATAAGCAAATACAAATTCAGTAATAAAAAAAGAGACAAGCATTTTTTGTATTGATCTATAGTATGTTTTTATTGGTCGATTTTATTAATCTCAGGGTTTCGGGCAGAGGGGTAACAAAGGGGGAAATTACAGCCCACACAAGAGCAAGAGACAAAGAAAACCATTAGGCTGTGATACAAAAGAAAACCGCTGGCTTGTAATTTTACGGCATTTTTGTGATTTAATTCACTTTTCGTGACAGAAAAAACTGCACATCAAAATGCCACAACCAATATTATAATTTATGGTGCACTAATATTTTACAACCGCTACAAATGACATCACTGTTTATTCTTGTATAAACAGCGCCGTTGACAGCCAAGTAGCCGTTATGACGCTCTGCATCAGATCCTGGTCACTCTGACTGAGATACATTAATTTTTATTAGGGATGCACCGAAATGAAAATTCTTGGCCGAAGCAGAAACCGAACAAAATGAAACACTGGGCCGAAAGCTGAAGGCCGAATACCGAACACGGTTTTTCGAGGTTTCCCCCCCATGTATTTTGCCAATTTTTTTCACCATTGCATAAATTAAATAGCCAAAATTATACAGCTTTACGATTCTCTCAGGAAAAAGCCGAGCTCCTGGAGGCGCGCCGTGGATGGAGCTAAAGAGTGACGAGCACTTGAGCGCCGAATGACAACAAAACAGACATTTGATGCTGTTTCACTTACCGTCTGCAGTTCTGAATCATGACCGGGATCTTTTATAGCTGGGACCGCTCCATCTTTCAGTATCAAACTATGTGCAAATCCAGCATTAAACTGTTTTACATAACGCTGGGTTCTTTAGGAAGCTGAACAAAGTAATCTTTCCCTTACAACCAAAAACACACTTCTTTGGAGACATTCTTCCTGACCGAGTCCCGTGCAGCGCTGCCGCCGGATGAAGCTCATTGATGGGCCTGATCTTGCTCTAGCTCTGGTCGATGTGAGCGTGGCGCGCTCTTCCGGGAGAAATGCCCATATAAGGAGTTCCACCCTCGTCTACGTCATGAAGAGC